ATATATATATATATATATATATATGTATGTATGTGTATGTGTGTGTATAACAACTAAATATCATTAACAATATGGTTCTATAACAGTTCCATAAATCTATTCTAGCTAATCATGCTCTATTCTTATGAAATTCATGATTATTGTAGTTCAAATCATATAAAAACTTATACAATAAAGAAGGAAAGTGTCCATGATCTCGCATTGAGGGATAACAATTTGCTCTGAGCATTGAGAAATTCGCTTGGAGTAAGCCCAAATAAAGAGCACCCTTGGGAGCTTCGATCCGGTCACTTTAAGTTATGTTGTCCTCGCTCTTAGCGATCAAAATTCGCTTTGAGCAATCATAATTTTCTCTAACCAAGCCAAGTTAGAGATTCTCCCTAAAATGGTCTCACTCACTCACTTTGAGCGACCCCTATGGGCGCTCTAAGCAAGCAAGCCAGTAAACATGCACGAGTTCAAGAATGAACATTGCATCTCAACATCTCAATCCTTTCAAGAATCCACCCATACCACTCAACCAATTGCACATGCAACTGGGAATCAAGCTTTTATGGACAAACATCAACTCAGAAATCAAAGCAATTGAAGCATGCAACACCAACACACTCCAATGTCATCAATTTCCCTCAACCTCACCATGAATACCAAAAACTCTTATCCTTCACCATTCAACTCGATTTTAGCTATATAGATGTTCACATTTGATGAAAACAACAACAAACAATTCATCAAATCAACAAACCATGTTAGTTGTTGTGTAGTAGCAGATCTCCTAGTTAAAATACGTGACGACACATGTAGTTGTTGTGTTGTATATATTGTGTTTTTGTGTTAAAAAATCTTAGTTATTGTCATAATGATGTTCAAGTTGAGTTTGCATTGTAGTAGACTGAGTTGTTCATGTTTTGGTGTTGATTGTGTTGTAATGGTGTATGTCGATAGTGTTGAATGTGTGGTGATGTTAATGTTGTTAATAATAAGACATGATGATGTATCATGCTGCTAATATTCCTTGTTGTATATGTTGTTTCTTTGAACTCTAACTTACCATTACATATTTTCATGTGGCTTGAATTGCGATGATCATACATGATATGATAGTAGAATACGATTAGGTATGAGGTGTTATATTGAGGTGACTAACAAGATCGAGTATGACGATGTTGTTTATACTTTGGTGCTACTACACTGTAGTACTTTGTATAAGAGTTGTTTGATCGATCCGCAATCTAAGTTGTATAATTTGCTTTTACTGAATTACTATATCTATATAGTATATATTTGTATAGTTGTTTTACCTTAATATGTATGATATAGTGTACATATTACATGTTTGTATGTATACAATTCTAAGTTATTGGTTATTTTTTTTGCTGCTATTTGTTTGCCATTAAGTGTAAAGATCATGACAGGTCATTATATAAATAGTTTGGTAATAAATATATTGAATTGGGAATATGTAAAAATACCTTTATCCATAAAACATAACGATTATTTCCTTCAATCTCATAATAAGTGTCATTTTAGGTTATTTTACATATATCATGGAAAATCAATAAATAGATGAAAGAAAATACTTCCTCTGTTCACTATTATAAACAAAAGGTTAAAATATTTTTTAGTATTTATAGTTTCAATTATTTTACCTTTTAGTCTCTATAGTCTAAAAGAAATATTTTTACTCATTATACTTATCTTTTTAATCCTTTTTAGTCCATATAATTTAATATACACCTTTTTAGTTTTTATACTTGCAATTTTTTTTAATTTTTTAGCCCTTAACGTTAATTTTTTGGTAACATTGTCTATTTTGTGTTAATGTGGTAGGTCTTCGAGTTCGCAATGATAGAAAAATGTATCTCAATAATGGGCATCATGGGTGAAAATATAAAAGAGACATAAAACGTTAAAAGACCTAATTTAAAGTAACTACATTAGAATAAACTTGACATCAAGCACAGTTGAATTAATAATATATTTATGTCACGTCAACACAAAAGAGATTATAATAAAAATAAAAATAACGTCAAGGACTAAAATAGTATTTTAATCTAAACAAAAAAGAAACAAATTTTTTCTTAAATATAAATAAATTTCAACTATTTTTATTTCATTTAATAATACTATACTTAAAATATATCTTATTTAATGTATGAATTTTTTGTTACACTACTTCTTTTAACATTTATAATAAAGACAATTTAACAAAAAATGTTATAGAATTAGTAAAATTTAATGTAGATTATTAATTTTTTTAATATGTGTAGAGTCAAAAAAATTTTCTTCTTATAATAGAGAACAAAAAGAGTAATAATTTTATAAAATTAATCTTATATTAATAATTAATATTTTTTACCAAATTCTAAAGAATATTATAATAAGTATGAATGAAAAGAAAACATTAATACTGCATTATAAACTAGCACACTACCCTAAACACTTATTTATGTAACTTATTGTTTAGGATTTGTAAAGTATCATTAATTTCTTTTTCTTAAAAATTCTATTTGATAAGTTGATTTTTTTTATCAGTTAAAAGAAATGTATTAAGGAGGCATTAGGGGTGCCAAACCCAAATACAAAAATGTTGAGAAATAAAAAAAGAGTTACAAATAGTCTTATACTACTCCAAAATTAAGTTGATTGATTTAGGAAATTGTAAAGACACATTTACTTATGAACTATATATAGAATTAGTAGCATGTGGTTTCATTTTATAATTTATAGTTTGAAATTTGTAAAGTCTCATTAATGACTTTTTTTTAATAATCTTTTTAATGAGTTTATTGACTTGAAAATTCCGAAAGACATTTGTTCATTAATTATATAATAATTAGTAACATGATTTTGTGTAATTTGTTGTTCAAAATTTATAAAGTATCATTAATAATTTTCTCTTGTATAATCTCATTAATGAATTTATTGGTTAAGAATTTGTAAAGGCAGATTTGTTCAAGAATTATAATAATTAGTAACATAGTTTTGTGTAGTTTTTAGAATTTGTAAAGTCTCATTAATAACTTTCTCTTAATAGTACTCTTTTCATTTATTTTTTATAATTGTTTTGTTAGTATTTTATTTTATTTTTCATTGTCATTTTACTAAAATTAATGACTTATTAAAATTTTTTTCTCATTTTTACCGTTGATAATTAATGTATGTTTACTAAACAATGTGTCTATTTATTTATAATGTCTACCTATTTTTTCTCCAACCACCTATGTGATTAAATGAAATAGGTTACTGTTCACATGTGTATTCTAATAATTAATGCATTAATTCATGGACAAATGTGATTAAATGGAGTAGGTTGTAGTTCACATGTGTATTCTAATAATCAATGCATTAATTCATGGATTTCTCAAGAGGTGCATAACAATAATAAGTATACACAAATCAACAATTTCAAGACTTGAATATATACAAAAAAAAAGGTATAACAGGAAAATAAGTAATAAATATTTTTAAAAACTAAAATATCAATTATTTCCTTAAGTTCGTGCAAAATGACTATGAAATAAAAATGGAAGGAATATCTTTAATAAATTTATTGATTTGTGAAGTCTCTTTGACAATTTTCTCTTAAATAATTTCATTAATTGATTTGTTTGATTTGAGAATATGCAATGATACAATAGTTCAAACAAGTTTTCTTTTCATTACCAAAAGTATTATACTAATAACCAATTATTATACTATTTTATATAATCGTTTATAGGTCAATTTATTTACTCGTGAGATGAACGGGTACATTATTTAATTCTAATTGTTATTTTGTTAGCTAATATTTTAAGCTGCTTAGTTTTTTTTTTTTTTTGTAAATGACCTTGAATCCTAAAATATAAAATATAATAAATAGTACCGTCACTACAAGGAAATTGTCGTATAGTGACACACATCCTATAGTGATACAATAAACGTCACTAAAAATTATTTTTACCTACACAATAAATATAATATATATGTTGGTATATTGTTAAAAAAATGTGTGTATAAGCTATGGTGACACACAAATATATTGTTAAATCTCATTCAAAATCAACACTAAAATTGTGTATAACTATATACCAAATAGATATATACCTACATATATTATACTTATAGTGACACTTTTTGTATGTCACTATATGTAATATTTATTGTAGTGTATTAATTAGCATATGACTTTTATAATCAGAATCAACTCTTATATTTATTAATCGCAAATTTCAAAATTAGTTTAATAGTGAAAAACTGAAAATAGAATACTATATAGTAGTTTAACTCTTATATTTAAGGTCTAATATATTATTTGATTACTAACATTTTTATAAATTTTTAAGCTGGTCATTTAACTAAAAAAATTATAATTCAGTCATTCATCTTTTATATTTTTGTAATTTAATCTCTAAAGGTAAAAATTTATTTACAATTTATAAAATTTCACAAAATATTATTGTTATATATAAATTATGATTCTGAGTAATAGTCTAATAT